ACTGCTGATAGATGGTTCTCCTCCGAGCCTCTCTGTTGTTGTTGTTATGTGCCGTTGAGTCAGACCCAATTCATAGCCACCCCTCCTTGGGTTTCCGAGGCGGTATCACTACGGAAGTAGATTGCCCAACCTTCCCTCTGAGGAGCGAGCCTCTATAGTGGGCAGGAAAAATCACTACATGGCAGAGTCCAGACTCAGGTTCACCTGGGCATTTTCTCAAGGATCTCTTGTAAATGTGAATTTGCTGGTTTTTGATGTATGTTGCCTAATTGCCTTCCCCTCTCCCCAAAGATTATGCCAACTACTATTAGTATTACTAAGGAGCTCTGCTGGCAAAGTACCTAAGGCGTTTGACTGCTAACCAGAAGGTTGGTGGTTCAAACCCAGCCTCTCTGTGGAAGACCCAGCAACCAGCAATCTACTTCTGTAAAGATTTACTGCCTTGGAAACTCAAAGGGGGTCTCTATGAGTTGGAATCCACTCGATGGCAGTGAGTTTGATTTTGATTTCGTTTATTATTATTACTAAAAAAAAAAAAAAAAAAAGATAAACATCTTTTAAACAATTCGTCTCTTGAGCCATAAACTAAAATATATAAGAAAAACATGAGCATAAGAAAAGAAGCCCATTGGCTTCATCAGTTTGAGCAACTCACGGTTCTCTCTCCCTTTCTCTTCCCATATGCATTCATAATTAGTTGTTCTTATCCCTGGTTCCTATCCATAATCTTCAATGCCAACAGCAATATAAGTATACTTTAGTTTTGTCACAAATGTACGAGCATTATGTATCATTAAACAAAAACCCTAGTTAGTTATATACTGCCATTTTAATTCAACTTTCCTTAATGAATTTGCTAGTTTGAATGTTTTCCCTTAGGTTTATTTGTCACTTATACTTTTTTTCTTATTTATGTTCATTTAACCATATCAGGTCAATGTTTTCTAACTTAATTAAATTTCTTTAGAAAACTCTTAAATGTAATCAGGTACCTAAATGAAACAATATTCAAAAACTGTATGTTCTTTGTTTTATAGTAATTGCCTAATCCCTTGTATTGTCTCTAGAATTTATAGTAAAGGTATATAACTGAAAAAAGGAGTATGCAGCACTTTACATAAGACTGTGACTATATCCATTTTTCACATCAAAGAACGGATGTGGGGTGTTAATGGTTATAATGGGGTGGGGAGAATAAAACATCTCGCAGCCATTTCTTGGCATTACTCTTATCCCAAAGGAACTGGAAATGAGAAATGAGGTGACACACTCATACTTAACAGTGATGTTTAGGTAACAGGAACTGGTTGGAGCAATTTTCCTGCTGGCAGAACCTGGAATAAAGTGTCAGAAAATTGCTCCAATAGAACAGCATAGAGTCTCGTCATCCTGCAACCTGCATCTGGATGGTGATGAGAGCTTACTATATTTAGGACATTTGCCAGCAAAGTATGGGGTTGTTGATGTCTTTTCCCTGCATGGCAAATTGGCCAACTAAGGAAAAGGCACAGCTATCATATTGGGGGATTTCTCTATTATCCTGCATCCATATTTTCCAATCACTGGTGAATTGCATGAATTGTTGTTGAGTTAGTTTTTTTTTCTTTTAAGGTGGAATTCACATAACGTACAATTAGTCATTTTAAAATATACAAGCCAGTGGTATTTAGTGTATTCACAATGTTGTGCAACCACCAACTCTTTTCTAGCTTGAAAACTTTTTCATCACCCTATAAAAGCATTCTGTACCCATTAAGTAGCCACTTCCCATTTCCTTTTTCCCCTAGCTCCTAGTAACTTCTAATTGGCTTTCTGTCTATGGATTTGTCTAATCTGGATATATTATATAAAGGAATCATACAACATGTGACCTTTTGTGTTTGGCTTCTTTTACTCAGCATAATGTCTTCAATGTTCATCTAAGTGGTAGCACGTATCAGTACTCAATTTCTTTTTATGACAGAATAATATTTCATTGTATGTATATACAACAATTTGCTTATCTAGGCATTTGTTGATGCACTTTTTGGCTATTATTTTCTGACACTTTATTCCAGGTTCTGCCAGCAGGAATAATGCTGCTGTAAATATTCATGCACAAGTTTCCACGTGGATATGTGTTTTCATTTCTTTTGGTTATACATCTAAGTGTGGAATTGCTGGATCAGTTGGTAATTCTATGTTTAACTTTTTGAGGAACCACCAAATTGTTTTCCGAAGCAGTTACATCATTTTACAGTCCCACTATCAATGGACTAAGTTCCTATTTCGCCACATCCTTGTCAACACTTGTTTTTCATTTTCTTGATTAAAGCAAGCAACACACTGGGTGTTAAGTATTATGTCACTCTGGTGTTGACTTGCATTTCCTTAATAACCTAAAATGTTCAATATCTTTTCATGTGCTTATTTATCATTTCTATATCTCTTTTGGAAAAATGTCTATTCCAGGCATTTGCTTAGTTTTTGAGTTGTCATTTGTTGTTGTTGAATGTAAGAGTTCTTTATATATTCCTGATATTAAACCATTATCAAGTATGTGATTTCCAAATATCTTCTTCCATTCTGTAGGGTTTTTTTTTTTCACCTTTCTTGATAATGTCCTTTGATACACAAAAGTTTGGAATTGTTATGAAGTCTAATTTATCTATTTTTTGCTGTTGTGGTTGCTCATGCTTCTGGTAACATATCCAAGAATCAATTGCCAAATCAGAGGTCATGAAGATTTACTCCTATGTTTTCTTGAGAAAATATATTTAGGTTATTGATTCATTTTGAATTATTTTTTTGAGTATGGAGTAATGTAGGTGCCCAGTTTCATTCTTTTGCATGTGGAAATTCAGTTGTCCCAGCACCATTTATTAAAGAAACTCTTCTTTCACCATTGAATGGTCTTGGCACCCTGTTGAAAATCAATTGAATGCACATGTTTGGTATGTTGATATTTGGGAAGAAGTATTTTTTTTTTTTTTTTTAATACTAACTTCTCCAGGCAGAATACAAGTAAAAAAAAAATAAATAAATAAAGATTTCCACCTTAAAAGAGAGAATGTTGGGGAGCCCCAGCTTATTCTTTTCTTTATAATTTGTTGTTTCTCTTCCTTATCAACACTATGCAGAGGATACAGATGAAATATGTAACCTGTACTATGGGCCAAACAGCCTGTATGGAAATCTTTCTTTTTGGACTTTGTTAGGATTTCCCCTTCAAGAAACTGACATTTAGGATATTCCAGGACCAACAACAAGAACAAGATGGGATACTGATTCTCAGACAGTCATTTGGCAAGCGTTTATAAAGACCTTCGCCTTGGAGATATTGCTCAATCAGCCTGACCTCTAGAGGACAGTTCTGGCAGACTGGCTGTGGTGGGTGGGCTCTATAAGCACACCTATATGCTCTCACCTTCAATTTGCCTTTATTGCCTCCCCAGTTAACTTCCTCTATTGCCTATCTCTAAAGGATCTCTGGTGGTGTAGTGCCTAAGGCATTTGACTGCTAACCAGAAGGTTAGCGGTTCAAACCCCCTAGCCATTCTGCGGAACAAAGACTGGGCAATCTACTTCCATAAAGATTTACTGCCTCAGAAACCCAGAGGGGTCGCTGTGAGTGGGAATTGACTGGATGTCAGCGAACGAGCCAGGATTAGGATCTAAGCAATGAAGATAATTGCTGAGGTTGGGAATTGGAGAAAGAAGCCAAGAATGTTTTGACCTAGGACACATTTCCAACGTGCTATAAGGATATTCCAGCGTTAGATAAGATCTGGGTGGCAGAAGATCAAGAAGGAGGTTTTGAAATAGACTGTGCAATGATTCCAAAAGGCGACAAACATCTAGCTGCATGGGGTTGGTTCTTCGGGATAAGGTAAAACTGGTCATTCTATTACAGGCAAGACGTATCTCTGCTCAGAGATCTATTTCTCACCATTCCAATTACTTCAGTTGGCTAACAAAACCTCAGCCTCAGAGAGGATTATTTTTCTGCTGCCTTCCTAAAATCAAAACACTCTGTGCAAAGTACAGAAAAATCTGATTTTGTTTTTTGGGTAGTCATTTTATATAATTTATAATATTGACTATGGTTTACCCTTATAAGAAATAGAGGGGGGATGGTTGAGGGAGTCTGGTACTTGTTTAGAAGAGATGGTGATATAGGTAGTGTCTGTTGGGAGGCCAGGAAGCATTTGACTGGTAGCTGAGAGGTTGTCAGAGGCACCTCAGAAGACAGGCCTGGCAATCTATTTCTGAAACGTCATGGCCTTGAAAACCCTATAGAGCAGTTCTACTCTGCATACATTGGATCACCATGAGCTAGAATCAGCTCTACAGCAACTAATAACAAAGGAGTGTGGAGTGTTTAAGATAGAGCTTCTCAAATTTAATGTGCATACAAATTACCTGGGGATATTATTAAAATAGAGATTCTAAACCTAGCATATTTGGGATGGGGTCCGTGGATAGCACTTTGAAAAGCCCCCCCAGGACACCTCAGGGCAGTATAGAAGGTTAGGGTATCAGACATGGCTTAACAGGAGTCCCAGACTGGAACCATAGTAGAGCCAATCCCTTCTGAAAGTGCTGTGTCAGAGACTAAACAAGAAGTATAACTCCTGGGATCTCTTTCAGGTTTAATATTTTGAGTCCTGAGATTCCAAGAAGGGTAGTTTTTAAAACTTTTTTGGGTCACAGACTTCTGTGGGAATGATGAAAGCGATGCATCCTCTGACCCTCAAAATGCACACACATACACTCATAATTCTGCAAACGACCTTCAGACCCTGCGGGACCGCAGCCCTGGGACAAGATCCCTGCGTGCCAGTCGGGTCTAGCCCTCCAGACCTGGGCGGCCCTGTAGCTCCCCATCTGGTGCAGGCATCGCGTCAGAACTGCGAGTGGGGGCGTGCCGGGAGGGCGGGGACGAGGCGGGCGCTAACCGCGCCCCTAGGCCGTGCGAGAGGCCGAGCTTGGTGCATTGCAGCCGCCGCGGCGCCGCTGGGCTCCTCACTCCCAACAATGGCGGCTCCGAGCCCGAGCGGCGGCGGCGGCTCTGGGGGCGGCAGCAGCAGCGGCGCCCCGGGCTCCGTAGGGTCCCCGGCGCCGGGCCACCCGGCCGTCAGCAGCATGCAGGGTAAGGAACGCGGTCGCGCCGAAACCCCAGCCCCCTTGCGCGGCCGTCAGCGTCGTCGCGGCCTGCCTGAGCGGCCGCGGACGCCCCTGTCACGGCTAAGGAAACCGCGGAACCTCCCGCGCCTCGCTCCCGCCCTATTTCCCGGTTCCCGCCCCGCTCCTGGCCACCTCCGCGTCGCCTCGGCTCCGGCCCTTTCAGGCCCCGGCCGCGGCCTCGGTCTGCGCTTGGCCTCTCGGCCCTGCTGGGCTTCCCGCTGGTCCGCGGGGCCCACCTGGCTCGGGAGCCGCCCCCGCGGCCACCCCCCTTGCGGCCACAACTTACCTGGCCCCCGCCCGGCCCCGTTTCCGGGAACCTGCTGGACTGGCGCCGCGGCGGGCCAGAGGCGCCCGGGCCTCGTTCCCTTTTCCTGCTGCGGGCAGGTAGGCAGTGGCCGCGGTGTCTCTGGCCCGGCGTCTCTCGCCCCGGCCGCCCCAGCGCGGCTCTTGGCCTCTGCGGTGGGGCCCCGGCCAAGGCCATCTTGGTTCTTCCCGGAGCACAGCTGGAGCCGGACCACCGAGTTGACCTCTGGGCCTTGCGGTCTTGTTGGAACCAACGTTAGCAAACTTTTTCAGGGTTTCTTGTGCGCTGGGAAGGGATTAGGGTTACGCAGGCCTGTGCCACCTGTAAGGTAGTTAGACAGCCATTGATTTGGGAGAGTCAGTTTTTTCCGGGCCAGGGATTTCTGTGTTCGCATAGCATGCAGGAAAAAAAAAAAGTGAATTCGGTGTAGATGGAGAGATACAGGATATAAAAAGGCAGGGGTCAAACTGGTACTACATACTGTCTGGACATCTGAGACAGCTTTCCTAATTAATGGCTTTCCCTGCTGGGAATGCTTATTAGCTCTGTATGGCTCTTGACAGGGGATGCTGTGAAAATACACTTACCAGGCCCCAGCCCATTAGGGACCATTTCCTTAAGCTTACTGGGGAGTTTGGAGTGGGAATGCTATTTTTAAAATAGTGAGTGTCAGAAATCTCTTGACAACTTTAGCAAGCTGCTTCTGTTGAATTATTGGTAGAATCAGTCCGGGTACCCAGTGTAATGGTTGCTCTTTGCTTAAAATTCTTAAAGGGCTCTCTGGTTGTCTACCCCTGTGTCTAGTTTGATTTAAGAGACATTTCTTGAATATTTTGTGTTTATGAGTGTGTGTGTATGTGTGTTTCAGGAAGCAGAGACAGGATTTTATTCATCTTTATGTCTTTGCCACTTTCCCCATGAGATAATTTTAATATACATGAAGAACATTGATAGATATATAGACAGGATGATGTCAGAACTCAGAGGACACTTTCTGTGGTGGCTGTAAGATAATTCAAATTGAATTAGTTATTGGATCCCCACAGTTTTGCATAGCACTATATACAGATGAAGTCTAGATGGGTTTCCAGATCTCACAGCTTTACAGTTTAGGTGGTGGAGGAAAATGAAACAGCAAAATGACAATTGAGGATTGTGTTGTTTTTCCCAAAAGGATGATGACTTATAAAAATCATGCCGGTTCCCCCCCCACCACCACCCGGGGCAGCGGGAGGTGACAGTTTGAAAAAGCTGTATGCATTTACAGTTTTGTTCAAAAAATATTGAGCATTTGCTGAGTGCCAGGCATAGTACTCCAGAGCTGGAAATTCAGAGGACAGTGAATCAGAGGGTCTCATCTCTGATGGAGCTTATCTTCCCATTAGAAAGGGGGAGGGAAGACAATATCCAGATAAATAAGAAAAATTACAATTTGAGAAAGTGTTGTGAAGGTAACAAACCGGTTTTTGTGATAGAAAGTAATAGGGAGAAGTACAGGCTGCTCTAAGATGATCAGGGGAGGCCTGTCTGGAAAGCTGACCCTCTTCTACCAGAAAAGTGTTCTCAGCAGAGGGAACAGTATATGTGAAGGTTCCCAAGCAGGAAAGTGCTTTTGAATATTCTAGGAACTCAAAGAAATGGTTGTGGTTAGGAATTGTTCTGATGCTCTTCATTCATCTCCCCATCCCCCGTCTCGATTCCCAGTAAACTAAACTTTCTAATAAGCAGAACCCATTTTAAAAGGGAGGACTTCAGATCTCTCTTTCAATTATCTCTGGAATAAATTTAATTGTATCAAGATTGGGTCTAGCCTTGCTTGATTCAGGTATACCTTGTCCTTGAACTTTTTTGATTACTCAGAACGAAGAGAAGTACTTGAAATTCTTAGGATGTTGTTTAGCACAATCCAGGTTATAAAATTTGAGCTTAAGCAGCAGTTCAAGATATGTTTGTTTTGTTATAATACATCTAAACCGCCCATATTTCATCTACCAAAAACTTTTCTTGGCTTTAGATCACACTTCACAGAGTGTGGTCCTTTGAAGGTGTTGGTGTACTGAGGGCCTCCCCACTTCTGCCACCACAGAAAACCACTTTTCTGGAAGTTGTTAAAGACCATGCTCTTTCAAACAGCAGGGTTCATTTGTGGGACACAAGAATTTAATAGATATTGGAGGTTGTCCTGGGTGACAAGCATTTGTAGTCACTGGTTCTATCCTATCCTATATAGGATTGCTATGAGTGGAAATAGACTCCATGGCAGTGTGTGGACTTGGCTAACCCTGCATACATTTTCATGGCTTGAAGTTTGTGGCAAGAGTGGTCCAAGTTGTGAAGTACTGTTTTCTTGATATCCTAATGCTTAGGAACTGGAGCCATGGATTCCTAGGCTTGAATCTCCTTTCCACAGTTTATGATTTTTGTGATCTTGCAAAGAATACTTAATTATAAGCCTTAATTGCTCATTTGGAAATAGGGAAGAATCCTTACCTCTTAGGTGATGTGAGGATGAATGTAAAGTATGGGGCCTTGCATATAGTGATGGTGCGATAAATGTTAGCTGTCAACAATAACGATAATTTGAAGTTGTCTCATTGATGATCTCTTTCATCATTAATAGATGAATCCCTGTCTCCTCATCATCTACCAGTTTATGTAGTGTCATTATTGTAAGACCCTACATTTCATTCTATCCTGTTGATTTTTACCATGTTGTTGTTGTTGTTATGTGCTTTCGAGTCGGCCCTGACTCATAGCGACCCCTCCTTGGGTTGCCGAGGCAGTATCACTACAGAAATAGATTGCCCAGTCTTCCTTCCGAGGAGTGGCTGGTGGGTTTGAACCGCCAGCCTTCTGGTTAGCAGTCAAGTGCCTTAGGCACTATGCTACCACATTTTACCATATTTTCATTATTAAGCATTTCCTTTAGAATACTCTATATGAATATTCTAATTCAAACTCCAGATCTTCTCTCTCTTCTGTATCTGAGGATTCTCAAGTGAATTTCACTTTGAATGCTATGAAATAGAAATCTAGTAATAGTTTGCCATACTCTTTTATTTTGGCTGGAATAGGAATTACAGAATACTGCTTTCTAACAATCATCAACAAACCTAGTTTCAGTTACATTTTTGTACTAACTGATAATGCTTCTAAGGAGCTGCGGTTGTGTAGTGGATAAGGCATTTGGCTTAACCAAAAGGTCTGTGGTTCAAAACTACCACCTGCTCCACAGAAGAAAGATGAGGCAGTCTGCTTCCATAAAGATTTTCAGCCTTGGAAAGTCGATTGGGCTTGCTGTGAGTCAGAATTGACTTGATGGCAGTGAGTTTTTTTTGTTTGAAATGGCTTCTAATCTAATAATTTCTTTTATCATTTTTCCATTTGTCCCTGAAATATTGGGGAATAGCTGCTAATTTTGTCATTGCTCATAACATTTGAGTATTTCATTCATCTCAACTCTTTTATTTTTTCTCCTTGTACCTATTCATAAATATATCCAACATTTATAATTTGAGTAGTTTTTATGCTTTGGTTATTTGGTGATTAAAAGTAGCAAAATGTAGATCTGTTTTTCAAGTTAGGTAAATCAAGTGTGTGTATATATATATATGTGTGTGTATGTGTATATACATATATATATACACATACACACACATATATTATATATAGGGAGCTCTGGTGGCGTAGTGCCTAAGGCATTTGACTGCTAACCAGAAGACTGGCGTTTCAGACCTACTAGTCAGTCCTCGAAAGGAAGATCGGGCATTCTACTTCCATAGTGATACCGCCTCGGAAACTCAAGGATGGGTTGCTGTGAGTCAGATCCGACTTGATGGCAGTGAGTTTGGTTTGGCTTTATGCACGTGTGCGCGCACACACACACACACACACACTTGGATGAATTTGTGCTTATGGGAGAAAAAAGCTTCCACTGAGGATTTCAGATACTTTCCTCTATTGTACTTTATCAATGTGAATGCATGCTGAAATTTGTTTAAAATGGGGTATTGGGTAACTCTGTATTCAGAGTCTTGTTTTCTTTTTTAGCAGATTTCTATTCTTTCACTCCATTTCTTTCATCTAATTTGAGAAGCTATATTGATTTGGATCTATAGAGTTATTTTTATTTTTAGGAGTCTGCACATCATAATTGACTCTATCATACATAATCCAGGTTAATGTCCTTTTCAGTTTTCGTCTCTAGGAGATAGAAAAAAATAAAAACCAAACCCACTGCTGTTGAGTTGATTCCAACTCATAGTAACCCTCATTGGGTTTCTGAGGCAGTAAATCTTTACTGAAGTAGATTGCCCAGTCTTGCTTCCATGGAGTGGCTTGTGGGTTTGAATGACTAACCTTTTGGTTAGCAATCAGATGCCTTAGGCACTGTGCTACCAGAGCTCCTTCTAGGAGATAGAAAATTCACTGCCACTGAGTTGGATCCAACTCATAGTGACCCCTCCTTGGGTTTCTGAGGCGGTATCACTACAGAAGTAGATTGCCCAACCTTGGCCCTAATTATACAACCTAAACCAAAAAAAAAAAAAAACCAAACTCACTGCCGTTGAGTTGATTCCAACTCATATGACTCTCATTCCATTTTTGAGGCTGTAAATCTTTACAGAATTAGATTGCTCCATCTTCCTTTCTCAGCATCT